GTGAAGAAGAAGTCAGAGGGAGGAAGAAGCCGCTGTAAGTGGTGTGAATAATTAATCAACAGGTTCAGATTTTACACCCAGAGGTCATGTGACTGTAGAGGAAAGGGGGGGGGGTAATGATAAAACTATTCATAGTGTTGGAGGACGACATTAAGAAGACCCGTCTCTCCGTGTTGGTAGATGAGCTGTAACCGACTCTAAATGTAGGTATTGTGATATAAACCGAGTCTGTTCTACAGTTTCTCATTAGGCTGAATGAATAACTGACTCTAAATGTAGGTATTGTGATATAAACCGAGTCTGTTCTACAGTTTCTCATTAGGCTGAATGAATAACTGACTCTAAATGTAGGTATTGTGATATAAACTGAGTCTGCTCTACAGTTTCTCATTAGGCTGAATGAATAACTGACTCTAAATGTAGGTATTGTGATATAAACTGAGTCTGCTCTACAGTTTCTCATTAGGCTGAATGAATAACTCCATGTTTTAATTTCTACTCGAGCACATCAGTGAGTTCAGTCATCTACGTTTTACTGCATCACATTGTAGTCATTAATATTGAGTTCCTAATGCTTGTTTTTGAGTTTAATGTCATCCTGTTTTGCTTTACTCTTCACCTCCCACACTGCACAAAGCTGCATCTTATCAAGGTAAATTATCTTAAATTAATCAATATATATATATAATTCTTCTCATTTTCAGACAGATCTCATCTCATTATAGGATTATTTAACTCATTTCTAGACATTTTTATGACTTGATTTTCGTCAGATTGTTTCACTGGGTTGGCAGATCACAGTGTTGATTTCAAGCACGTTTCTAACAACAAGTATAATCATCTGCCCCACTCTTAAAAATAACGGTTCTTCAAAGGTTCTTTAGTAGAGAAAATGGTTCTATAAATACTCAAAGAACCATTTGCATTATTAAAAGGTTCTGTGCGCATGGTAAAAGGTTCTTTGGACTGATGTAGAATGTGTTGTAGATGGTTCTGTATAGCACCAAAAAGGGTTCTTCTATTCTTACAGACTTGACTTTGTAACAATAGCAGAACCCTTTTTGGAGAAACTATATAGAACCATCTCAGCAATCTGCAATCCGAAGAATGCTTTCACAATGCAATGGATCTTTTAATCACGCAAAGTGTTCGTTTGAGTGTTTATGGTTATGGTTATTCATATAGCTGTACATCACATCACAGTCATGACAGCAGGTCAGGCTTTTATCATTGATCCCTTTATATCATCTACATAAACGTTTGTATTGTGGGTCTCAGAGCGGTTCTGGTGTGAAATGGGCTTGCTGGTGTACTAGCTTTGACATGCTATTAAGTGCAGTAGTATGTGGTTTGGGACGCAGCCTCAGTCTCGCACTGATGGCTGAGAGAGGCAGACTCAGCGAGGCTCTGAGGTCATTCTCTGATTTGTCCATCTCTTCTTAAACTCTCCTTGAAAGGCTCTTCATATAACATGATCCTCATATGTTTCATATCTAAATGCTCCGTTATCTTCATCACTACTTTCAAAACCGCTGCAGCAGCTTCAGCAGCTGTAAACTCTCTGCACGCCGTTTCACACGAGTCTCCAATGTGGACTGAATGAAGAATGAAGGGTTTCCGGCGTGATGGTCAGTAGTTAGTGATTTCCTGAGTGTCCATTGGTCAGTTTCACACAGAATGTAGACGGACACACCAATCCACCAGCTCCACACGGTGAGAGGCAGATGACGTGTATCTCAGCCCCTCTTCATAGGCTCATAACTCCGGATGTGAGTCTCGTATGATCTCGTGATAAGATGGAATGGAAAGGGCGACTCTACAGATTCAGGAAGTGTCTGAACTGGATTTCTGAGCTGGATCATCACAAAGATAGAGGAACACATGAAAAACTCATTTGCAAAAACAGATATAAATCATGTTTTTTTAATTATGCTTATTCTTGTAATGTTGATGTGAACTTGCGGTGCCTTGAAGATGAACAGTAACAGCGTTTGTGCCGTGTTTAGGGTTCAGAATGAGCTGAGTGTTAGAATAACTCACCTCCATCCAACTCACAGCTCCATTTTTATAAGAGGACGTTTATTGATTTTTGCAAACGAACTCTTCATATATAGAAACATCAAATTTGATGCATGGGCGAATGCAGTGTCTCCTTTAGTAGCAGAGAACACTACAAAAATAATAATAGTAATAATATTAATAATAATAGTAATACATTTTACTGATTAATTAAATATGATCAGTGGTTGAATAAAAGGTGTGAATATTACACTGTGAGTGTGTTGATTAATAGGATTAGGTTTGTTCTTGGCTCTTGAAATTAGACAAATGGAGAACACGTTGTGTATAATGGACAATATTAAAATAACTTGCTGTTAATTAATAAATAATAAATAACTAATAAATTGTCTGTATTGAAATTTTCTAGTACTAACATGATGATGAGGATGATGAAGCATGTGAGATATCGTTGGTGGTGTCTTGTGTCTTTACCCATCATGTTTTCTTCCAGTAATCAAACCCTAATGCACTGCTGGATAATCAATAGCCATGATTGATCAGCTTCAGCCCAGAGTTCCATTACTAGCTTCACCGGTCAATTCCATCTTTCTCAGATGCCGATAATGATCCAAGAAGCCCAATCAGGCACAAATAACAGATAATCGCAGTAGCTTTCTTCAATATTTGTAGTACAAAACACACTAAATAATGGTCTTTTGAATTTGCATGATTAAAATATGCAAATGTATGCGTATCATGGCTCACTATAAAAAAGAATCTGTTGAGAGAAAATGTCAAGGCAGCGTGATGAACTATGATTTCTGAATTTCTGAACAGCAGATTTTGCTTAATGAGGTTAATTTGTTTACTAACTCAGACCTGATTGTTCATCAAACATTAGATCATCAATAAAACAATGTTTTTTTAAAGGGTCAGCAGCCGAAATTACACCTCCATCTGTAGAAGGACACCATCATCCCGAGTGACCTATAGTCTGACCCAGTTACCAGGCTTGACATCATGACAATAGAAGAACACGTTTGGTGCTATATAGAACCCCTTTTAAAAAGGTTCTATATAGAACCATATACAACACATTCTCCATCAATGTATCAAAATAGAACCTTTTTTTTTACTAAAGAACCCTTGAAGAACCGTACTTTTTAAGTGTGTACGCCAGCGGATTGTTTTATATCTAATCTTCTTACTGATCTCTCCTGAAACGTCAATGACTTGTACTCTCTTAAAAAGGTTGGGTCCTCAAGGGTTCTTCAATAAAGATAGTGGTTCTATATAGAACCATGAACACTCAAAGAATCATTTGCATGCTTAAAGGTTCTTTGCATGGTGAAATGGTTCCTCAGACTGATGGACAATGTGTGGTGTTTGGTTCTATATAGAACCTTTTGAAAACGGTTTGAATATATAGCACCAAAAATGATTAAAACTTTATCATCGTAAGAACAGCAGAACCTTTTTTGGTGCTATATAGAACAAATATACAACACATTCTCCATCAAGCTGAAGAACGATTTCACCATGTAGAGAACCATTTAACCATGCAAATGGTTCTTTGAGTGTTCATAGTTCTGTATCGAACCATTGTTTTTATTGAAGAACCCTTGGAGAACCCTCTTTTTGAGCAGGGCTTTCTGTCTCCTGTAAGACCCTGTGAGGTATCATGTTCCACCGTGTTAGTTTACAGTGATGGACGTGCAGAGAGCCTGTAGACCTGGGCATGTTCCTCCCTCTGCGAGCGGCTGAGTGGGTTTCTATGTACACATGCACTCTCCGGTGGTCCTGCAGGGTCTTCTGGGTTTCTCTGGCTGAAAGCTCGGACAACGGACAGGTCAGAACAGTGGAGTGGAAAAGGCCAGGCCGAGCAGAACGGCTCTACCGTGTGCGTGTCTCAGAGAGAACAACACGAAAGGGCAAGACAGGCTGCTGCGTAATCCGCGGCTAAATGCCACCGACGCCGGATATCAGGACCTTCAGCTCCGTTCTAGAGTATAAACACAGCACAACCTGGGGGGCTTCATAAAGCAGGAGAACTTAAGCCCAAAGACGAGGATCATCCAGTAACAACGTCCCTCAGCTCTTCTCCTACTGGACAGGCGTGACTTTAGGCTTAAGTTGTCTGGGTTAACTGTTAAAATCCTGATACACCCCCTGATCCTCGGTGACTGCAGGGGGCAGGATTCCTCAGTTAGCCAGATAAGTTAAGCCCAAACTCTCAGCCTGAGCAGTAAGAGATGTCTCTACTGCACAGTTCACACTCTGGGCTCATGTTATATGAGAGCGCAGCTGATTCAGGCGGAGGTCCACCCGACTGCGTGATGTAGGGAGGTGATGGTGGTCTCCTCCTCCGACTGTGTTGAGCGGAGTGAACGTGAGCACAGACTGAGACGGAAATATATGTTTTAAAAACAGATACATTTTGATTCGGCCACTTATTATGCATTTGTACTATGAATATTTGAGCAGCTGCTATTTATTATTTATTAACTTTATTATTTCAAACTATTCAATAACTTCCATTAATTGTACATCAACTAATTATTTTAGTCTAAATGATACTATTTTGATTTATTCAGTATAAACTGTAGCTTATCTGGCATTTACTATGAATAATTCAGTAATTGCAATGAATTATTCAGCATCTACTGTAAATGATTCAGTATTTACTATGAATTATTCACTATTTACTACTAATTACTTTTTAAATTAAATCTACTATGAATTATTTGCATCTACTATAAATTATTCAGTATCTAATATGAATTACTCAGCATCTACCATGAATTATTCAATATTTACTATGAATTATTCAGTATCTATTATTAATTATTCAATATTTACTATAAATGATTCAGTACCTACTATAAATTATTCATTATCTACTATGAATTATTCAGTGTCTACTATGAATTATTTAGTATACACTATTTAAATTTACTTTGAGATGTGTTTGTTTATATATTTGCTCTCTTTGTTCTCAGAGGACGTTAACGATGCCTGTTCTGAACCTGATGGGAGACTCCGCCCCTGATCCTTCGCTCACCCCCTCTCTCTCTCCATCCACCTCCTCCTCTTCTTCCTCTTCCTCTTTCTCTCTTCCTTCACTCTCCTCCATCTCTTACTCCTCCCTCTACCCCTCCTCCCTCCCTCCATCCCTCTCCTCCTCCCTCTCTCCCTCTAACTGCTCGCTCGCCCCCTCCCCCTCCTCCCCTCCCTATAACTTCTACGCGGTGTTGCTGGTGCTGCTGATCTTCTGCGTGGTGTTCGGGAATGTTCTGGTGTGTGTGGCCGTGTCGAGGGAGAAGTCGCTCCAGACCACCACCAACTACCTCATCGTCTCCCTGGCTGTGTCTGACCTGCTGCTGGCCACGCTGGTCATGCCCTGGGGCGTCTACCTGGAGGTCAGAACACCTGAGCCGCAGTGCTCTCCAGTCTCGTTTCACACTGCTGTAATAGTCGGTTACTAATTAATGGTGCACATTAACTGACACTAAGGTGTTAATGATTAGTGGCTTATTTTAAAGAGCCCATATTCTATGATTTTTTTATATATTTGTGTGATACACTGCGCATCCAAAAGTCTGTAGACTCCAGCAAATGGGGGGGGGCTAAACTGCTGTAGGCTGAATGGGGGGGGGCTAAACTGCTGTAGGCTGAATGGGTGGGGCTTAACATCTTCAGGCTGAATGGGTGTGGCTAAACTGCTGTAGGCTGAATGGGTGGGGCTAAACTGCTGTAGGCTGAATGGGCGGGGCTTAACATATTCAGGCTGAATGGGTGGGGCTAAACTGCTGTAGGCTGAATGGGTGGGGCTAAACTGCTGTAGGCTGAATGGGGGGGCTAAACTGCTGTAGGCTGAATGGGCGGAGCTTAACATCTTTAGGCTGAATGGGTGGGGCTAAACTGCTGTAGGCTGAATGGGCGGGGCTTAACATCTTCAGGCTGAATGGGTGGGGCTAAACTGCTGTAGGCTGAATGGGTGGGGCTAAACAGTTGTGTGCTGAATGGGTGGGGCTAAACAGTTGTGTGCTGAATGGGTGGGGCTAAACTGCTGTAGGCCACTCATATGCAAATGTGTACATGGTTGTGACGTCACTGTAATGAATTCAAAATAAGTGCCCTGGTGAGTGAACAGTATTATATGAGTACAGATCAGATACATCAGACTGCAAACTAGTGGCTCTTTAAACTGCTGCTCTGTGAAGTAACCGCTGTCAGTGGGCGGAGTCTGAGTGTGTACTGAGCGCGCTCCGTCTGTTTCAGGTTGTCGGTGAATGGAGGTTCAGCCGAATCCACTGTGACATCCTCCTCACTCTGGACGTCATGATGTGCACGGCCAGCATCCTCAACCTGTGCGCCATCAGCATCGACAGGTCACTGATACAGCACTCTTCATCACTCCTCATCCTCACTCTTCGTCATCACTCATCCTCACTCTTCATCATCACTCCTCATCCTCATTCTTCATCACTCCTCATCCTCACTCATCATCACTCCTCATCCTCACTCTTCATCATCACTCCTCATCCTCATTCTTCATCACTCCTCATCCTCATTCTTCATCATCACTCCTCATCCTCACTCTTCATCACTCCTCATCCTCACTGATCATCACTCCTCATCACTCCTCATCCTCACTCTTCATCACTTCTCATCCTCATTCTTCATCATCACTGCTCATCCTCACTCTTCATCATCACTCCTCATCCTCACTCTTCATCATCACTCCTCATCCTCACTCTTCATCATCACTCCTCATCCTCACTCTTCATCACTCCTCATCCTCACTCTTCATCATCACTCCTCATCCTCACTCTTCATCATCACTCCTCATCCTCACTGTTCATCATCACTGCTCATCCTCATTCTTCATCACTCCTCATCCTCATTCTTCATCACTCCTCATCCTCACTCTTCACCATCCTTTATCATCACTCTTTATCACCACTCATCACTCATCACTTTATCATCACTCTTCATCCTCACTTCTCATCCTCACTCTTCATCACTATTCACTTTTCATCATCACTCTTCATCACTCTTCATCCCTCTCCTCCTCTCCATCATTTTCCATCCCTCTCCTCCTCATCATCACTCTTCATCCCTCTCCTCCTCTTCATCCCTCCTCATCCCCCTCTGCCGGTGTGGTGTTGGTGGTCCAGCTCAGCTGGTGTTGAGGTGATGAATAGTGAGACTGTCCTGCGTTGCTGACGGATTCAATCAGAATGATAATTGCGCTCTCATTACCACTCAGTCAATACGCTGTCAATACCTTCATCTGCTCCTCCGCTCTCCCTCAGCCCGTCTGACCTGAATTCATCCGCAGATTAAACCCACTCCAGGCAATTACTTGTGTGAGATTGAGAGGAGCCCCCAACAGCAGCGAGTTATGAATTATAAATCCATCAGAGCGCTGGAGGTGCTCTCAGCGTGCGGTTAGAGTTCCCACTGATTAAAGCCAGAGTCACAAATGTGCTGAAGTCAGGAGTGTAGTGTCCATGTTACAGCAGGAGCCACGCAGCTCCAGCATATTCATCAATTCATACCTCACGGGCATCATTAGAGGGAAACAGGGCTCCGAAAGTGGCGTAAGTGTTTATTTATTAATGTTTATAGACTTGAGATGGACGTACAGGAGAACATGTGCAGAGACAAAAAGTCAGTGATCACCAAATCGGGAAATCACAGAAATTACAAGTTCAAAAATCAAGTCAAAGTTTATTTACTTAGTGCTTTCCACAACAGGTGTGGTCACAAAGCAGCTTCACAGAAAAATCCGGGTCCGAGCCCCCATGAGCGTCGCGACAGTGGCAGGAAAAACTCCCTAAGAGTAAGAGGAAGAGACACTGAGAGGAACCAAGACTCAAAAGGGGAACCCATCTTCCTCTGAACGACACCGGATAGCAAACAATAACACAACAGCAAAATGAACAGAGAATAAGGTTTTAACATTAATATAAAATATTAAAGTGCAGAAAATGGGGAAAAACAGGTGAAGCATGTCTCTGATTAAACAGACTGAGTCTGTGCAGCAGCAGCATCATCGGGAGGGTCAGTTCATGCAGGTGAGGTTTGCACAGTGTTGTACAGCATGAAGCTCAATGGTGGTCAAGCCGGTCCAGAAGGCTGGTGAGCAGTGGCACCTGATCAAGGCAGAAGAAGCAACAGCATCAGACGCACAGGATGGTCAGCTGTTCAACTCGGCAGAGAAAGGAAACACACAGAGAGTCAGTTCTGTACAGAGAGACTGACCACAGATTACAGGGTTAACAGAGCAGCAGAGACTCCGGCAGGTCTAGATATTACAGCCTCACTAAGAGGGAGAAACCAGTAAGGTAACAGAGACCTGAGGCTCCCTGAGACTGGGGGAGAACTGGGGGAGCGGCTGAACAGAGTGGACTGCTGTGTCTGATCCACTCACACCAGCACAACACACACTAACACACCACCACCACGTCAGTGTTACTGCAGTGCTGAGAATGATCCACCACCCAAATAGTACCTGCTCTGTGAGGGTCCATGGGGGTCCTGACCACTGAAGAACAGGGTAACAAAGTATCAGAGAAACAGATGGACTACAGTCTGTAACTGTAGAACTACAGAGTGACACTATACGGTCAGGCAAGGGCCAGATTGTACTTTGTTAAGATTCCTGAGGGCTGAAATATTATTCACAAGTAATTTTACTATTACATTTATATTATTACTAAGTTTTCAGAATATCAGCGCGTAGAATCTGAGCTTCCTGTGAGCTGCTGTGTTTCCTATCACTGTATAAAAGAAGCACGAGGCTCCTGTTATTGCTGTATCACTCATTCAGAGCAGTTTGGATCTTCAAGTGTGTTTAACAATGAAACTATTTAAGAGTAAAAATAAAACATGACTAATGTATTAATTATGTTTCTATTCAAAACATCTTTTGTGAGACAAACTAAACAGTAATTTTATTTAATAATCACATTTCTTGGTTTTGTTACATATCAAATAAATGCAGCGACAGCGTTAAGAAATCACTTTATGATACGAGAAGAGCAGATTAAACTGCGTAAGTAGCCGTTATTGTTCCACCTTAAAGGGTGAATATTTACTGACCTGATATGAGGCTCGTTTTCTGCGTCTCTCGATGAAAAAGTTCAAATTTCCATCTAAATCTGTGTCTCTCAGTGTTAGTCTGAGCTTTACGGCTCAGTCTGGACTAAATGTGGTCAGTAAATGAAGCTGCAGGTCAGTCAGAGAAGAAAGGCTCTTCAACTTTAGCTACTTCGTTACCGCAGTGCAGTTACACTGTAATCTTACAGCACTGCTGCCACCAGCAGGTGAAAGGAGGAACTGCAGTGCACTGGCTGGCGGGCCACTTATAACACACTCTAAAACAGAAACCATGGGCCGATTAAAATCTGCCCACGGGCCGCGTTTGGCCCTGGGGCTGGACTTTGGACGCCCTTAGGAGCTGATAAAATAGGCAATGAGTGTAGATACAAGCAGGTGGACTTAATGAAGTGGCCAGTCAGTGTATGATCCTGATACTACAGGTACAGCAGTGAAACCATTAAGTCCTCAGATGTTTAGCCAGCTGCTAAACATCTGTGCTTTATTTGTGGGATTTTCACAGATAGCAATAATTATACAAGAAAGTATTGATTAATAATATCAGCCTGTATATCAGTGAGGCTCTAGTCAACAGCAGTCAGTGAGCTGGAGAGCCGCTGTTTATCTCAGTGGTTCCCAGTTCCACACTGGACTGCAGGCAGTAAATGTGAGTGTTTTCCAGCTCTAACTCACCTGACTGTTCATGAAAGGCTTCATAATCATAGTCTGAGTTGGAGTGTATGGTACATGGGGTCCCTGAGTAGCTCTGAGTTATCAGTACCTCATTATCTGCACTGATCTGTGTTAGTACATGTCAGGGGACGTAAACGTGGTGCTACGCTACACAGTGTGAACTGGAAACGTGAGAAGCTGATTGAGTTCCACACAGTCAGTACGGCTTGTTCTACAGCCTTTAGCGTCACCTCTGAAACCAGCTGTTTCTACAGGAACGTTTCATCCACCCACATGGATCATAAATGGTAGTCATCATCAACGTTGTGGTAAAAGCCACACATTACAGTAGTGTTTGTAATTTTCCTGTAACAGTATAATTCTCACAATCACATTATCATTAGTTAATGGCGCCGTATACGATTCTGGAGAACTGTTGATGTTTGAACTCAACAGCAAAACAAATACACCTCTCCCTTCAGTGCTCCTTCAGAAGCTCCACCACCCAAATTCATGGACGCACATTGCCAAGGCGAGCAATGCTGGGCTAGCAAACTTGTTTTTTTGGTCCTCATGGTCATAAAACTTCACAAACATTGTACAGTTCAAAACTATGATATAACGTTAGAGTGAACAACGGCACAGCAAGTAATGTAGCTAACGTTAGCTAGGCTGTGGGTTAGCAAACTGTCACTACAATTGCTGCTGTGAAGCTAACCAGTCGCTGTCACAAACATTCGCAAACAGGACAAAACAATTCGGACCTGCTGGTTCTGTGAAACAGTGGAAATAAGTTAATGCTGCTCACCTGTCAAGCAGAAACAGAGCAGCCTCCTCATCCCTTTTCATACATTTCAGCTCTCCATGAAACCCCTTAAAATCCCCTTAAAAATAGAAAGGCTTGTTATTCATTAACTACAGGGACTTCAATGCAAACGATCTGAGCCATTCTTAGGTTATAGAAGTGTGTATTAAACCTTTGGGCCCACTAAGGGACTCTGGCCTTTTAAGGGGTTAAATGGTGCAGCAGTTGCATTCCAGCGCCTCAGCTTCTTGTTTGAATTTTTCCGTTCCACCTTAAATCACGCGACATGAACTCTTTGACCAATCACAGACGCCTCTGCCGTGGCATGACAGCAACCAAGATGATGGATTGGCCATGTTTAAGCAAGCACTAAACAGACCATAATCTCAAAAGCAGCTTAAACTCGGCTGAGAACCCAGCTGTGCAAAAGCAAAGGTCAAACACAGGCTAACAGGCATGTACAGACAACAAAAACAGAGTCAAAAAGCAGGCCAAAAAGGTCAGAACACGAACAAAACAGAGTCAAAGGGTCAGGCAGAAGTGACCGGCAGAAGTCACAAACCAAGAAAACAGCGGAAAACAAACGGCTGGTAAAGCACAGCAGGCTGACACGATACTTCACCATGTGAGTGTGAACACAGACAGGTTATCTGTGGTGAGATACAGGTGGTGGAGATCAGTAATCAGGGGAGGCAGAGCGTGGATAGGGGGACAGTACTGAGTCTGGTGTCTGGTGACCTCCCAGAGGATTCTGGGAGTTGGAGTTCTCACAGAGTGAGGAGCAGTGGTTTCAGCGGAGCCGGAGAGAGACGTGACAAAGACGTTCTGCCTGTTTTTCCCTCCGTGAATAACATGGCGAACGTTTTTAAAAGCTCGTGTTGTGTCTGATACGAAAAAATCATGTCTGAATATTTAGCATTTGCGTGTTGTGTATTGGTGTTGCGTTCGGTGTGTAAAGGCCTTCAGTCCTTTTCTCATTTAAACGAAAGTTATACAGCAAATAGCAGCACAATCTGAGCACGTGCAGCGTCAGAGTCTCCACAGTGCTGCTCTTAAAGCGCTGATGACTGTAGTTCATCCATTCAGCTGTGATGAAAACACGTTCAGCGTTTATTGTTTGCAGCACGGCCTTGGTTAGAAGACCCCGTTCCACCCTGCCCCCCCACCCGCCCCCGACAGCAAGGCTGATCTTTTACCTTCACTAATTAAATGAAACACTTATTCTGCTGTTAATCGTGACTGCAGAGAGTTATAAGCCGTAATTTCGCACCTTTTCACCGTAGAATTGACTTTCATTAACACTTCACCCTTAAAACAGGTTATTGGTTAAGGGTTCTGTAGTAAAGACGATGAACCATGAACACTCAAAGAACCATTTTCATGCTTAAATGGTTCTCTGTAGGGTGACATTGTTCTTTAAATTCATGGAGAATGTGTTGTATATGGTTCTAAAAGGTATAAAAGGTAGCTGTAGTTATGACGTTAAGCTTGTCATAATAGAAGAACCCTCTTTGGAACCACTTCTCCATCAATCTGAAGAACCATTTCATGATGCAAAGAACGCTTTAATTATGCAGATGGTTCTTTGAATGTCCATGGTTCTACCAAGCTTATACCCCATCAATTAGCATGGTGCTATCTGCATGAATACATCTATAAATATGGACAGAAGTATGAACAAAATTCAGGTATAAATGAGGCTATCACTGATTATATCAGTAATCGAGTAGTCCAGCAATTATTTTGACGATTAATTTGTATACAGTTTATAACAAGCTGGATATTTTTATTAATATGATTAATAAAACACAATATAACATAATTCTGAATATAATAAAAGTGTGTAACATGCGTTAGTGAGATCCTGCTGGTGTGGGTTTCCTCTCTTTCAGTGATGCCCCAAAAGCAATCGCTGAGCTCACTGCTCCCCCTTGTGGAGACTGTTCAGAGTGCTGAGCATGACTTTGTAATGACCCTGTGTGTCATTCAGAGTGTACAGTTACTGATTTCTATAAAATAGTCTGAACATGACGCACATAACATTAATAATAATGTTTCGGGGCTGCAGGTACACGGCTGTTGCCATGCCGATGCTGTATAACACGCGGTACAGCTCCAGAAGGAGGGTGGCTCTGATGATTGCGGTGGTTTGGTTTCTCTCCTTTGCTATTTCCTGCCCCCTGCTGTTCGGACTTAATAACACAGGTATGACCACTCAACACACTCTGTACTCAACACACTCTGAACTCAACACACACTACTCAACACACTCTGTATTCAACACACTACTCAACACACACTGTACTCAACACACATTGACTCAACACACACTGTACTCAACACACTACTCAACACACACTGAATTCAACACACTCTGAACCCAACACACTACTCAACACACTACTCAACACACACTGTACTCAACACACTCTGAACTCAACACACTCTGAACTTAACAGTCTGTACTCAACACACTCTGTATTCAACACACTACTCAACACACTCTGTACTCAACACACTACTCAACACACACTGTACTCAACACACTACTCAACACACTCTGAATTCAACACTAATCCGCACACTACTCAACACACACTCTACTCAATACACACTGTACTCAACACACTACTCAACACACTCTGTACTCAACATAGTCTGTACTCAACACACTCTGAATTCAACAGTCTGTACTCAACACACTACTCAACACACTCTGTACTCAACACACTACTCAACACACACTGTACTCAACACACATTGACTCAACACACACTGTACTCAACACACTACTCAACACACACTGAATTCAACACACTCTGAACCCAACACACTACTCAACACACTACTCAACACACACTGTACTCAATACACACTGTACTCAACACACTACTCAACACACTCTGTACTCAACACAGTCTGTACTCAACACACTCTGAATTCAACAGTCTGTACTCAACATATTCATAGCACACTTTCTGTACTCAACACACTCTGTTTCAGGGCTGGCCAGTGTGTGAGTATTTTCAGTGTATGTGTAGTTTTTTTAGATATAAAATTTTGTTCACACTGGGCTCCTTTGTGGCTTGAGGTGCCTTTTTTGAGTGTATCAATGGAAGGGATGTGTTTTTTTTTAGCATGTTTTTAATATCTTCGTAATTAATAGATCATTTTCCAAACAATCTAATATTAACATTAAATAATATTAAAATATATTTACACTGTGTTAGTTTCAGAATTCCCTCAACCTTTTGTGTTTACTTCCTTTGTGAGTCTTAATTAGTGGGTAATTATTAAGATCAAATATATATATATATATATATATATATATATATATATATATATATATATTAGGGCTCTACATGGTTTATGGTTTGTTAAGTCCATTTTCATTGGTGGCAGCTCTACACAGAACACATCTTTAATACAGAACACATTTTCATTTTAAACACATAAAGCAGTTTTTTGACTTCAACACTGAGCCTTGAACCTCAGTGAGAGTCACAGTGGTTATTTCAGTGAATCAAATGAGATCTGAAGGAGTTTGAATGTGATTTACTGCGTGTCGCACATTGACAACATTAACAGTGTCAGAGTTTAGTGAATATTGAATTTCTGATGAACGTACTGAAGCTTGATTAGCATTAAGGTTAATTAGCATTAGGGCTTTGTTGTGGGGACGTAGGGCTCAGAGCGGCGCTGTGTAGGAAGAGTTTTACACACGCAGGCGAGGAGTTGCATCAGCAGCTTACAGATGCCTTCCTGAATCTTTAATTTTGTACTGAAAAGCGAGTTTCGTCTCTTTTGTTGTTTTCCTCATTGTTTACTCTTAAAGGCAGTGACACAGCGAGGCCCAACGGGGTCCTTTTCCTATAGAACCACAGCATTAAAGGCGTGTGTACTTTTTACAGTTATCTATTTCTGCTTTTGAATATTTGAACAGCTATACATGGTTTGTTATTTGATTAATTAATGATTATTTTATTTTACTTATTGTGGAATCTTTGAAAGACTGTGCACCATTTGTTAGTCACTTTATATATTTTAAATATTGTATATATTTTAAAAGTCAAATAAAGCTGCGCTTATTTCCGTGTAAAGCGCTGGCAGTGTCATGCGTCCTGGGTGATCTGATTATGAGTGGACAGTGCTGAGTCTCAAAGACGCTCTGTGGTCAGGGGCACATTCAGTCTCATAACGTTGTGCTGCAGTTTCCAGGTTGAACGACATGTCGAAACAGTGTGAAACGCTATGCAGTAGCTTTGAGGTGTGTTTTCTCTGGTTTGATGGGCGTGTCAGAGCTGTCACCCAATCAGCAGCGACGTGTATATAATATCTATACAGTATCTAATAAAGTCCTCTATAAATGCTGCTGCTGCAGCTTGGTGTTTGCAACTGTTGAAGACGTTAAAAGACATATTTTGAAGTATTAAACACAAAGTATTTAAATTCTTCGTAAAAGGACACCAAGAATGGTCTTCTGAGCTGCCACAGTTGCAACGCATACATAACACAACAGAGAGTTCAGTGACCAGAGGTCTGTTTTCAGTCCCGCACCTGCAGAACATCGGATCTTTTGTCCCGCTCCCGCCCACAACCCAATCGTTTAGTCCCACCCCCACCCGCACAGCTCCGTCAAGGCAACTGACATCCAGTATCTGACACAGTCTATTCACAAACACATTATTCTATTCTTATTCCATAGATTCTACTCTTTTCATAAAGGTTCCATATAGAACCATATACGACACATTCTCCATTAATCTGAAGAACCATTTCACCATGCAGAGAACATGTGAATCATACAAAGGGTTCTTTGAGTGTTCACAGTTCTGTATAGAACTTTACTAACGAACCCTTGAAGAACCATCTTTTTAAGAGTGTAGGATGACCATAAAAAGAGCATTTAGGTTTTAGTTTTTCAAATAAAGCGTTTTTTTAGGTTTCATATCTTTTCGGGTAACTGCTGTCGATCTCAGACAGGTGTGTTAATTAGTCTACCAGGTGATCCTGCTTAAAGGGAAACTTGCTTAACGAGATTGTTCCACTTCATTAAGCACGTCTCAGTTCTCATACACTACGCAGAGGAAGAAAGATGAAGAGTGAAGAGTGTGAAATAGTGCAATGTCTTGCAAAAGGCATGAAAAAAATTATATTTCATAGAAACTGAAGAGAAATCATCAGACTGTGAAAAGACGTGAGTGACTCAGAGCAGAGAGGAATACGGACAGATGAAGGCTTATTAGGGGAAGTTTCTGTCAGGCAGTCGAATGGTATGGTGACGTCCCTGTGCCATCAGCCAGGCAGGTGCGGGGGTGAGGGGGTGGGTGGGGACGGCGGAGCTGTGAGCTTCTTCAAGGTATCTGGACCTGAGGGTTGATGTCGGGGCAGTGTTTTTCTTTCTTTTGGCCTGCTGAGTGTAGGACACGCCTCTTTGGTCCTGTTTTTTGTTCTTTTTTGGGGTTTTGTGTTGGGGTCATGTCTTAAGCTGGTCCAACACTACTCGATTTTTCGCCCAATTTTACCCTGATTTGCCCCCAGATTTTCATAATCTGAAGCGATTCTCCAGGTCAGGAGCTCGATCAGAAGCAACTGACGGTGCGGATGATCTGGAGAAACGAGTGTATCTTTAGCCCCCCGATCAGATCAAACTCTGGAGAGATCAGAGACCCTCAGATATTAACAAACATGTTTGATTTTTACGACTCAAAACGTTCATGAGTCCTGCAGTGTGAGGCGGTCAGAGATGAACTCAGTGAGGGATTCAAACAGCCAATCAGAGAGCTGGAAGAGCGGAGAGAAAGGAGAAGAAATCCTTAAACATACTGACTATTTAGGAAAAACAAAAACGGCATCTGCATAATAATATGGAATACAATATATAAATTGTTTTTCAGTTTTTGGCATAATTTGAAAATGCCTGTTGCTCTTCACATAGCGTGTAAATTTCATGATGAATGGACCAAAAGAAACGGCCCAAAATGACTTGGAAAACCATCTGGTTCCATTGACTTACATTAAAAGTAAAGTATGTTTTTTCCTTCTCCTGTAAAGTTACCATTTTGGAGATACGAGGTTTTGTTGCACACACACACATTAAACATACCAGTTGCTGGTTTGTTTAATTAGAGGACTAATTGAATGTGCTGTGTGTGCAGCTTTAATTGTTTTGTATTATTTTGTGTGGCTGTCAAGTTGCATGAGAATAATGTTGCATGCAACTCACAACATGCAACTAATTGCATGATCATTAAAAAGGCAGCCTTACAGATAAAAAATGGTAATGTTTAAATAAATTATAACTGTTTTGAAACATAAACCACATGAGTCTGTCTCTGAGTCAATCTTGGGGACGTAATAATGCACAAGAAGAATGTGGGGTATGGGCTCTTTAACACTCCTGACTTCAGAAGAAACGCTGCCCCCCCCATCCCCCCATCCCCTCTTCAGCACAAATGTTTGTCTGATCACGCCTCTCTAAAGAGCGGAACACACTCCGGCCCCTGAGAGTGGGAGTGTGTGTGTGTGTTGTGCTCCTCGAGGGGGATTATCTAACGCGGCGGCGGGCGGCTGCATCCAAATCACCGGCTTCTTCTCCGGCTCGAGATGCAGAGCGTAACCTGAGTGTCAGGCCTCCAGAACCTTCCGCCGCCCTCTGCGTTCGCAGGTACGGAGGTGCTGACGTGAGCAGCGCGACTCTCATCTGCCCGCTCGGGCCTCTTTAAGTGCCCCGTCTCTGCCTCTCCGAGGACGGAGCGCCGGAGCGGCAGCTCAGGGTTTAAACAGCTTCGAGTGTTTCACGGTTTAAAGCTCCTGAAGGCTCTCGAAACGCCTCACAGCCTCCGCGCCCACCCTGCACCCCCCTCCGTCTTTGTGGGGCTTGTTTTGTTTTCTTATCATTCATTTTCTTTTCTACACACATTTTTATTTCTGTTATTTTACAGTTTTTTATTTTTACCCAGTTTTCTCTACATTAATGTTCAGCTCCACCAGTTAGAATCTCTCAGTTCAGTTCATACATACATACATCATCTAAACCGCTTATCCTTCTGGGTCGCGGTGGGGTGCTGGAGCCTATCCCAGCTGTCATTGGGCGGAAGGCAGGATACACCCTGGACAGGTCGCCAGTCCATCGCAGGGCAGACAGACAGACATACACATTCACAGTCACTCACACCTAGGGGCAATTCAGCATGTCCAATCAGCCTGACTGCATGTTTTTGGACTGTGGGAGGAAACCGGAGAACCCGGAGGAAACCCACGCAGACACAGGGAGAACAGGCAAACTCCACACAGAAATGACCCTGGCCACCCGGTCAGTTCAGTTCGAGATTCTTTATTGTCATAACAAATAAAGCTACATTAGCACTGCCGGAGCAGCTGACATAATAATAATCAATAAATTCAAGTCAAGTTAAATTTATTTATATAGCTCCTTTTACAGCAGATGTTGCCACAAAGCAGCTTTACAGAGAATCCGGGTCCACGCCCCCAGTGAGCAAGCCTTGGCGACAGTGGCAAGGAAAAACTCCCTCAACAGGAGGAAGAAACCTTGAGAGGAACCAGACTCAAAAGAGGAACCCATCCTCCTCTGGTCGACGCCGGATAACAGCACAGACACAAAACAGTATAAGTGGGTACAGTTTAACACCACTGTGCAGTGCGCCGGCCGCATCTCAGGTCAGACCCTCTTAGGACAGGCAGCCGCTCAGCTCAGGGAAAGAGGGGGAGAGGGAAAGAGGGGGGGATGGGGGGAGGTAAGAGGGACATAGTTAGGAAAACAAATTAACCAAAGGCTCGACTAAACAGGTAAGTTTTTATCCTAGACTTAAAGATGGAGGCTGTGTCTGAGTCCCGAACACAGACTGGTGGGCTATTCCAAAGCTGGGGGGCGTGGTATGAAAAGGCTCCTCCCCCTGACGTAACTTTATTTATTCCGGGTACTAATAATGAGCAGCACCTTGTGATCTAAGTGGGCGTGTTGGTTGATAATAGGAAATAAGGTCACTGAGGTACTGAGGAGCATGAAAAACTATGAAAAACTAAGCTATATATGTGTGTGAATATATTTACACACACCTATATATTCACTCACACATATTACAGAGGCACAGTGCTTCCGTACTGTGAGGGCGAAGGCCGCAACATGCTTTGCAGGATCGTAGACCCTGTACAGCCTGTGCTTGTTTGTCTGACCACACTTACGCTAGCCTGGATTTCATACGTCCTCTGCGCCTTCTTAAGAGGTTTGTGTAGGATCGCTGCTCTTGCTGTCCGTTTTACAGCGTGGACACTGCACGTTGTCCCAGAGACGCCTAAAACAGTAACGAGAAAGCGCAGGTCCCCTTTTAGCTCAGCTAAAACAGTGACGAATGACTCTTTAGTTCCCTTAACTGGGTATCTTTTCCATAATTTCAAAATACAGAGTTCACATGAAAAAAGGGGATTTACATATATTAGCAACCATCTGGGATACCATAACAATGGCCTAGCAACACCTTAGCAACCACCTGGGATACCACCGCAAGAGCCTAGCAACTCCTTTGCAACCACCTTTGATACCACCGCAACAGCCTAGGAACACCTTAGCATCCACCTGGGATAACACTGCAACAGGCTAGCAACACCTTAGCAACCACCTGGGATAGCATAGCAACAGCATATCAACCCTGCTGAACATAAAATGAATCATAAAAACCATTAAATGTTTCTGTTGGTCTGTTCCTGGTTTTGAATACGTTACTAATGGGTTTGTGTGTTTCCTGATGAATTAATATTACGGTGGTAATATCTAGTGGTTTAACAGGTGTTCTAGGACTGATTCCAGATGCATTTGATGGTTTCCTAATGGGATCTTAAGGTGTCCTACAGGACACTAGTGGTCTCTAATGGGTAATTCCCATTAGAAAGCAAAACCATCCGTCTTTAATCTTAATGATTCTAAAGGTCTTTTCTCAGCAGGGAACACCTTAACAACCACCTGAGATACCATAACAATGGCCTAGCAACACCTTAGCAACCACCCGGGACACCATAGCAATGGCCTAGCAACACCTTAACCACCTGGGAAAACATAACTTGACCTGTGAACCACATGGCTTTGTTTTTGTTCTGCCACATTAAATGGTCTGTGATTGGTCGTTTTGCATGTCAGTCATGCGGTCCTTTCCTGTCAAAGACGGTGGTTCTCTAGTTCTACTCAGGGCGGCTTGCGAGTCTGTATTTCAGCTCCGTTTAACACAGCATGTAGTTGAATTTGAACCTCCTGTATTTCCAAACTAATGAAGTTGTTTTAGTGTTTTGCAAAGAAGCTGGAGATCTTCTGCCTGATCACTGCTGTACTTCAGCGCTAGAATCTCACACCTCCTGACGACAGGGCTATTACAGTTTTGGTTTCAGTTTAGTTTCCGTTAGTATTAAGGCTGCATTAATAGTTTTAGTTTAGTTTTTATTTAGTCTCCGTGTCAGTTTTGGTGTTTAGCAGTACGATGGACGCTGTGATAGCAGGTATTCGGTAGCAGGCTGAGCTCAGTGTTCCTTAAAGACGGCCGAACACAGAAACACCATTCTAAAAATTAATTTGTGTTTTTGAAACCCGTCGTTTTTATTTTTTAGTTACCAGAGTCTCCGTGGTTCTCGGGGAGTTTGTGACTCTGTGGTTCTGCCTGCTTGTCTCTATTCAGCGAGTCTGGAGGGAAAGGACTGCAGCTTTGCTGACCCGGCCTTCGTGGTCTACTCATCTGTCGCCTCCTTCTACATTCCCTTCATCGTGACCCTGCTGGTGTACGCGCAGATCTGCGTGGTGCTGCGCAGGCGAGGCAGACGGACGGCGCCACCCCGCAGACACGGCCTGCGCTCCGAGCCCGCAGACGCTCTCCGACAGCACAAGGTGGGAGTAATTCATTCATCACTATCACTGATTTTATAGATATCAGCACATAATTGTCTCATTTACACCTCTGCTGTGTTCTGTTGTGTGCAGGGTAGTATTTTATACGCTGGTGCCAAAGAAGATTTTCCAATTTATGAACGTGAAAATGACAATGAATGATTCTGATTCAGATTCTGATTCAGATTCTGATATGATAAGAATAATATTCACCATGAAAAGGCAAAACTAGATTCAGAATCACTTTGTTGGCCGAGTTCTCTTAAGCCGGTTTTCCACTGCACAGTACCAGCTCGACTCGACTCCCGTTCTTGGTTCTCCTTCAGGCACCTCCAGTGCGGTGCCAAGCGAGCTGAGCCGATACCAAAAGGTGACATAAAAACCCTGCAGACTGCTGATTCGTCGGAGAGCATCACTAAACACATATGCTAATGTTAGCTACCAGGTTAGCATAGCCTCTTGCGTCACCTTTGGGCAATCAGAATCATCTTGTTATCGGAATGCTGCTGTAGAGGCCTGTGCAGGACTATTTCCCACAGAAAATGGGAATCATTTGTCCGTCTCCCACTCACAGCCGGAGTGTTTTGTCCCACTTCTGCCCGCACAGATCCATCAAGACAACTGACATCCAATATCTGACACAGTCTGTTCAAAACCACAATATCCTGACATAACAGGTCAGTCGTGGTCGTCAGGCTCACTGTGAGTAACTTCACCAAACGCTGTTTATTCACCATTTAAACACAGAGCAGGAATTAAACCACAGAGCGGTTAGTTTTGGTGTTCTGCTGGGCAGCTGTGGCCGTCGGACTGAAGGCTCCGCCTCTGTGAGCTGCGAGAATCTGCGTGTTGTTGATCGGCTGCTTTACAGCTCTTTAGAACGACTTCATTCATTTTAGCTGTTTTATTGTTATCATTCATATTCTGTTTATTTATGATTTAGCGATCGTTCTACTTTATTCAGGCTGTTCATTAATCTGCAGGGTTTCTTTTCATGTGTGCTTTGTCCCGCTCCCGCCTGCAGGGGGCTCGATATCCGCCCGCTCCCGTGCACAACACTGAAAAGTCCTGCGCTGCAAGATGTTGGGCTGTGTGGGTCTCGTGGGTCCAGTTTCCCAAACTCTCCCGTCTTTTTCAGCAGTCTTTTGTCTCACTGCCATCAGCCTCTTTTGAACAACATTCGTCACCATCACGTCACATCAGTTTCATGTGGCGTCACTATGACGACCAGCTATATTGATGGGGAGCCATATCTGCAGGGGAAAACAAAGTAGCTGGTACCAGAAGCGAGTAGAGTCGAGTTGAGGCAGTGGAAAAGCTGCTTTACATGTACAAGGGATTTGTCCTGGTTAAACTGGTGCGTAAATGACCAACACAGTGAGTGACCTGTTGTTCAGGCTGTGTGAGGAGCTGCTCTCTGCTGTGTTTGACCGTGTTGTGTGTCAGAGCTGCAGTGTCTATGGTATGGGCAGTTCCAGTGTCTCTCTGGGCCTGTTTACATTCAGTAATCTGATCATGTTCGGATTTCACTTGAACGCATGAAAAGTCAGATGTGAACAATGTCAGGATGCACTGTGATCGGAATACAATCCGATCACTCAAACCACGTTCAACACAGAGTGTAAACAGAATGTGTTTTCATGAGGCTCTTTTCACATTTTTGCATTTTTTTCTGCTGGACGTTCTCGTTGCATGGTAACGCTGCTTCAGCTAAAGCAACACTAACAACGAGGATGTGTGTGTAGAGCGTGTACAGCTACTC